TTGGGGGAAAGGGATTGTTAGTAATGGAGAAGTTAGGTCCATTGCTATCAATATATCCTATAAGGTATACATAGACTTCTCCCATACAGGGAGGGTTTGCCAATTGTTGCCACGCTTGACAAGCGGGTTGGCAACCGCAGTTAGGCTTTGATGATATTTTACAAGGGGCGGTGCTGCCCATTCTCGACCATTAAGTTCCTTTAGTCGCCTCTTACGACATCCACGCGGTTTCCCCTGGAAACCATCGTGACTAATTTATCTTTGAATTCGTCACGATGGGCTAACTGACCTGTCTTTCCATCCTCACCAATCATCCCTCACTGGTGCCCCGCCAATGTATACCGATAGCGCTGGCGGGGTTACCATACCATTTACTATTATAATGTTAGTAATACATATATTAATATATACATTTTTTTAATGGATGATAATGAAATGGGGCACCAATGAAGTGAGGATGGAAAGACAGGTTAGTTAGCGCATCGTGATGAATACACCTGGAATTCAGCACGATGATTTCCAGGGGTGACCACGTGGAGGTCGACCTGATAGGATATATTGCTAGCAATGTGAAGTAGCTGTATGCCTAGGCAACTAGGTACAAACTCAGCTTTTTACTGGACTTATGTGCGTTCAGCGCTGATTTTAATAAACAGTCATTTTTAGAATTTAACGTCTGTCTACATATGGGATCAATAGGAGAAAATTTCAGGGAGTATATTAAAGAATTTTTACAATCGACTAACTTGACAACTGGCGTGTGTTTTATCAAGAATCAGTCGAGCGTATCGTGAGATACAACTTGACCTCTGTCGTATGAAGTCACGTTAAAATGTAGTAGAGATTTAGACATTGTTTTACTTTGCAAAAATAAAAGCGACTATAGTCATGAACGCACAAACAAAAGAGAGATTTTGTACAAAAGTCAATTGCTTGGGTACCTCTGTCCCATTCGTGTTTCAACTGTGAAGTAGTTGTGTTTGCATGGCTGTGTTTCGGTTTGAAGGGTGGGTTATGGCAGTGAATTTACTGGGTACGGAGGAATAAGATCTGAGTCCTCAGGAATGGCAACGCATGGAGGGTATCATAGGCGAAACAGTATACTCTGTTATGTTCATGGCACTGCTCATGTCTATAGGCGACGGTTACCACTTTCCATCAGGTGGGCCGTCAGCTTGTTTGCCATTCTAAGTTGCATAAAAAAAATCATTTACATGATTTCATTAAATAATAAATGTATACCATCATCGTCATCACTATTTCAGCTATTAAATGTCCACTGCTGAACATAAGACATGCCCATAAGGGCGAGTTTTGCTAGTTGCCACGCTTGGCAGGCGGGTTGGTAACCGCAATTAGGCTTGTAAAAATGTTTTAAGTTTAAATAAATGTAGATAATCGAATTTAAACCGTAAAAAGTCACTGATATAGAGCAATTCAACGCATAACATGCTTTAATTTTCAATAATTGTGTTTTTTTTTTATATATTTCCCTCATCTGTGCAAATTATATATGTATGTATATAATAATGAGTAGGAATATATACTTATATCATTGCTTATATAATATTTCCATATTTAAAAATGATAGAATTTCCATCGTGCCTCCGATCAAACTGTTTATAATTACTTCTCTCTTAGCCATAAGGTCGCCTATTGTTTTCTCACTCTCTGTTCTTAGACCGCTAGTTTGCCAGCTAGTTTGCTATTCTAAGTTGCATAAAAGAAAAAAAAAAAACAAAAGTTATACCGGCGATATTCATACCACCATAAAACAACATCCGTTACCTTTTAACTTCTAATACTACTCACGACTAGGTGAAGACCTCTATTTATGGTTTATATGGGTTATTAAACCATAACTACTAGTTGGTTTGCTTTCGCTTCAAGCAATTAGTATACATATAAACACTAGCTTTTGCACGCGGCTTCGTCCGCGTGACCGGGACATCTTCACTGACCAGGGATAAAAAGTAGCCTACATTTTCCTCCATACCGCAGTGATGCTTAAAGTCTAACTTAAAATATAGTGTATTTTATATCTTTACACGCCATTTAGATTTCTATTTAAGTGGTTTTCTGATTTCTGACGAAGACACCACGCCGACATACACAGACCAACAGTGTATGCCGGCTGCAAACCTAGTGACCCGAAGGTCGTCGCCTCCGGAATTGAAGCCGGGGTAATGGGGTACGCCCCGAGGCCCCTACCTCGCCCGCCCACACATCATCCGGCGGGCAAGAGAAGACCATGTTGTTGTTTGATTTCTGAAGTCGACAGTCCACGTGTACGAAGTAGCGGACAAAAGATGGCGGGTAAATAAAAATATTTATCGCAACTGACCTTCCTAGGTCGCACTAGACAAAGTCACAAGTAGATTGGATTAAACTGAGGATATTTTTAAGACACTATAAATCATATGTATAACGTAAACATCATTAAATTTATCAAAATAATTCAATTAGTATACATACTCGGAGTTTTTTGTGACCTATCAAAGGCATTTGATTGTGTGGATCATAAAACGCTTTTGTACAAGCTCGAACATTATGGTATAAGAGATAATGATCTAAAATTAATGAGAACTTATTTAGAGGATAGGGTTCAAACTGTAGATATTGACGGTGTAAAATCTAAGGGAGCTAATATTAAGATGGGCGTTCCACAAGGGTCAATCTTAGGCCCCTTTCTCTTTTTAATCTACATAAATGACCTTCCCTTTATGGTAGAGAAAATTGCAGATATAGTGCTGTTTGCGGATGATACTTCGTTAGTGTTTAAAATTGGACGTCAAAGTAATCAATTAGACGATGTAAATTGTGCTATGTCTGCAATATTAAATTGGTTTACATGTAATAACCTATTATTAAATTCCAGCAAAACAAAGTGTATAAAATTTACACTTCCTAATGTAAGACTAATAAATACACAGTTATTGCTTAATGACGAAATAGTAAATTTTGTTAATGATACAGTTTTTTTAGGTATAACAGTGGACTCGAAATTACAATGGGGGCCCCATATTTCAAAATTGGCCAGTAGACTCAGTTCTGCTGCATATGCAATTAGAAGAATTAGGCAATTAACAGACGTGGCGACGGCTAAACTTGTATATTTTAGTTATTTCCATAGCATAATGTCTTATGGCATACTGCTGTGGGGTAAAGCAGCCGATATAAATACTATATTTGTTTTACAAAAGAGAGCCATACGTTCTATTTATGGTATGGGTTCAAGAGAGTCATTACGTCAGTGCTTTAAAGACTCAAATATCCTCACAGTTACTTCACAATACATTTATGAAAATATTATGTATACACGGAAGAACTTAGCGAGTTTTAAAAAACTCAAAGACTGTACAAGTAGAAACTTACGCAATATAAATAAGCTTATTTTACCTAAATGCCGTCTGCACAAAATCAGTAATTCATTCTATGGTAATTGCATAAGATTTTATAATAAACTGCCGGAATCTGCATTAAATCTGACAGAGAGGCAATTCAAATCTTATATTAAACAATTTTTATGTAAGAAAGCCTATTACAGGATAGACGAATTCATAGATGACAACATATCAAGTAAATAATTAGTTTATTAGCATACAACGTTATAATTTTATTTTCTCATTGCTTTCTTGATTTAATTGATTAATTTTAGAAATATGAAAGCGTAGCGGTTTTTTGTATTAATTGCCGCATGCATTCTTATGTAAAATGTGAATACTATAACTATCAGATAGCAATTGTGAGTAGCTTTGACGTGGTCTAGTGTTTTGAGTAGTCATGCTCACTAAAATGTCCAGACTTGTGGCGGCGTGGTGGGCCGGGTCATTGGGCTCCCTAAAATATGGTCGAGCGCAGTGATGGCTGGCTCATCCGTCATACTCGTGAACGGGTGCTGCTTGTAGGGACTGGTCTGCTCTAATCACTATGACTGATTTCCTCTTATTAATTGTTTAACCAGTTGGTTATGTATTCAATTTTTTTTTTCTTTTTGAGTATTTAATTGAATTAGTGCTAATTGGTGGTTTGTATTCACACAATTAAACTTAAAAATGTAAAATAATAATAAAATTATTTAAAAGAGCATCACGCAAGTTTCTTGCTCGTTCTTCTTGTGATGAGACAGCTTTCCGAACGAGCGGTAAATTAAAAAAAATGTAATGACTTTTCAAAAGTGCTTCAATGTAAGTTTATTTGAATAAATGATTTCTATTCTTATTCTATTCTATTATTTTAAATAATAATATAACATAATCGATAAGCTGAAATTCCATAAAAAAGTCACAACACAATTTGTGAATTGTCAATAAATTACGCATGTTAAAACTCTCAATTTTCTTGCAGCGACTTCCACGAGATGCCTTATCTGGTATAGGTTTAAAACTATATTGTATCATAGATTAGTCTTGTTCAATGAAAATAGTTATTCTAAAAGTCTGAATGAGTTACTCTATCTCGATTCAAATATTACTAATTGATAATTGCTAAATACGTAACTTTATCTCGACTTTTATATTACGAGTACTATTATTATAAAGGCTGAATTTTTAATTGATAAGGCTGACTAAGTTAATAACTAACTCGATTTTTATATTACTAATTAATTGTGATCGCTGAAAAAGTGACTTTGAGCCCACTCTTATATTATTAATTATTAAAGCTGAATTACTAATTGTTATGGCTGGTATATGGTTGCATAAATAATTCTAACTCGACTTTTATATTACTAATGAATTGTGATAGCTGAAAAAGTAACTTTAAGCCCACTCTTATATTATTAATTATTAAAGCTGAATTACTAATTGTTAAGGTTGCATAAGCAACTTTTACTCGATTTTTATATTATTAATTAATTGCGATGGCTGAAAAAGTGACTTTGAGCCCACTCTTATATTACTAATTATAAAAGCTGATTTACTAATTGTTATGGCTGAACAAGTTACTTTATCTCGACCCTTATATTACTAATTTTAATGTGACAGTTAGAGATAACTTACCGCTACCGGTGGGACCTAGGAGCAGTACATTACTCTTGTCCAATTTTAGCTCGTGATGCTGCCTCTCTAGCACTTCTGTGCCGCCTCCCCCACCGCCGTTCCCATGGCTTAAATGTAAGAGATCTGTGAAATGAAGAAATAGTACATTTCAGAATTTCCGTACGAGTAATTTGAAGTGAAATGAGAGAGTATTTTTAGTGACACGGACTAGTACACCCACTGATAAAAATATATCCTCGTCAGTTCGATTTTCACATGGATTTTTGATGAATAACCGACTTGGTTTTCTCGTCGTCTATCATTATTAATTAGATATTTGGTCAATGGTATCATGCTAGCGTATATCGATGGTAACGGCAGGATTACCATTATATTTTAATCCTATAAATTAAAACACTAATTGCAAAAAAAAAAAATAAGAATTACTACTTCAAGACTACTGGATTGTAGTAAAGCCATATTTCGGCTGTACAGCGAGTTAAAACAAAAACAAAATTGCGAAACTATTTTCTAATCGTTTAATTATATTTCTCAAAACTTAGTTTTTAATTAATTAAATTATGTAAATATACGGAAAACCTAGTATTTAATATTTTAAATTTAATTAACTGAATTTGTATGTTTAGGTTAAAATATGTATAAATATGACACGAATATTTGATAACTGTTTCTCGAAATAAAGATAACATTTATATTATTCATATTATCACATCGAAAAAAATTGCATAACATAAACGAGAAAACTTTAATCTCAGATACAACAGTTGAAAAATAATTAAATAAGTAAAATCTTTATTAACAAATACAGGGTTGCACTGTTACATATATTTTGGCCTGGTTTATAAATTAGGATAACCTGTGCCCTACATGGACAAACAGTGTAAGCCAGTTCCTTCCAACATACAAGAACTAGTTAATTATTAAAATTTCATTGACCAATTTAAAGAAATTACTTCTTCATTTATTTCTTCTTGGAATGAATTTACAGGGTACAGGGGAATAACATTTGAGTCCTCAGGAATGGCAACGCATAGGGGGTATCATGGGCGAAACAGTATATTTTGTTATGTCCATGGTACTGCTCATGTCTATAGGCGACGGTTACCACTTTCCATCAGGTGGGCCGTCAGCTTGTTTGCCATTCTAAATTGTATAAAAAAAATTCTCATTCCTTTTTCAATTCAATCATATTTTATACGCGCATATGTATCTATATTTGTTGTATAATTACAAACGTTGAATATTTATAAGGAAGCTAATAGATACAATGTCAAACTAAAAGGAGGAAAAACCCCGAGACAATGTGTATCTAACGATCTGTAACAGAATGGTATGCTGAAGGTCCATTGTAAAAGGAGTGATTGCCCTGACATGGATCTCGTCAACTGTTTATAATTGTAAATACATTCACATTTGCTATTAGTGTTTGTATAATCCGAGTGAAAATATCAAAATTTATCCTTAAACGTTGCATTATTGCTCGTAATGGAGGTCATTTGACATCTCAACTTTGATTGAAGTATACACAGGGCCGTAGCTAGACCCAAGTTTAAGGTAGGGCAAAAGAACTTTTTCGTAGGACAGAAGTCAAAATTAAGTGGCTTCGAAAAAGCTAATCTATATCTGATTTTCTTGGGGCCTTTTATTTTAAGGTAGGACATTGCTCCTCAAAACCCTAGCTATGGCCATGAGTATTTGCATGAGATTTTTAGGCAACTATTTATCATTTAGAAGGTTTTTTAATGGATGATAATAGAATGATAACCCCGTCTACGCTATCAGTATACACTGGCGGGGCACCAGACGAAGAAATATAGGTGAGGATAAAAAGGCAGGTCAGTTAGCCTGTTGTGACGAATTCAACTATAAATTAGTCAGGATGGTTTTCACGGGGAACCGCGTGGAGGTCGACTCCATAGAGTATATTGATAGCAATGGGGACTAACCTCCCAATTACTAACAATCCCTTCCCTCTTTATTCGAAAGGTCAAACTATATTTAATCAAAGGAAAGTATTTGCAAGGTAACCCGTAATAGAAGTTTGACGTTCTTATGAATGTGGGGTTTAGTTTTACCTGCCGCTGACAACTCAAATTCATTTTATATATATATATTTTATATATATATATATATATATATATATATATATATATATATATAGGTATACATACATTTTTCTCAAATTTAAATTTTCAAAAACTCTTCCAATATCTCAAAAAGCAGTACGAATGTAACCTCGCCACGGTGTGGCGTGTCAAAATGTCGTTGTACATCTCATTGTCACCGCACTTACGTGGGAGTTACACTTTCTCATTTTAATAAACGGTTTATAGTCTGTGACTTTCGTGACTTTCGAAAAAACAAAATATTAAAATATTTATCTCGATGTGTATGTATCTGGCTTTTGAAACGACATGCTTATTCGTATGCACCGTTTCGAACAGTAGTAATTAATTATAGACGTAGCAATTGTTAATGGTTACGTATCCTCATTGTTTAACTGGCTTACTAACTAGGTACTACTTTCTGATTATACATAATGTAAGTTTTTAACAAAACTACAAACACAAACGACGTGTACAAAAACTGACTCCCTATCAGAGTTTTTTTTATACAACTTAGAATGGCAAACAAGTTGTCGGCCCACCTGATGGAAAGTGGTAACCGTCGCCTATAGACATGAGCAGTACCATGGACATAACAGAGTATACTGTTTCGCCCATTACACCCCCCAAACGTTGCCATTCCTGAGGACTCAGGTGTTATTCCTCTGGACCCAGTAAATTCACGCCATATCCCACCCTTCAAACCGAAACACAGCCATGAAAACACAACTGCTTCACGGTTGAAACACGAATGGGACAGAGGTACCCAAGCAATCGACTTTTGTACAGTCTCCCTCTTTCTGGCAGAGAAAAGCTATTATAATATATATCGCGAAGTTTTTTTGTAGTAATTGATATTTTCTTCAATATTGTAGAACATACTTTTGTTCTATCACCAATAGTTTCCGCAGCGCACGCGACGAAATATATTTTATAGCATTTTTTTACTACTAAAGTTTAAGTAAGGATCCCTAATCTTTTCTAGCAATAAATATAGCCTATGTTGCTCAGGGTGAATGTAGATTCATTACAAACATACATACACACAAAAATACAAATTTTTTCTCTTTATAATTTTAGTGTAGATGACATTAACGTGAAAAATTTAAGATAAAGATTGTGCCCCAAAAAAAAAAAAGATTTTAATTGTGACAAAGTGAAAGGGAGGGTAGCCCATTCTATGCCGGGACCACGCGGTTATTTTTATGTTTGTTACCTCTGAAAATTCTTTTTTATCCGAAAAGATATACTTTCGTATTAATTACACAAAAAGTTATCAAAATCAGTTTAGTATTTACCAGAGGGAGACTTTGTACAAAAGTCCTTTGCTTGGGTACCTCTGTCCCATTCGTGTTTCAACCGTAAAGCAGTTGTGTTTACATGGCTGTGTTTCGATTTGAAGGGTGGGATATGGCGTGAATTTACAGGGTACAGAGGAATAACACCTGAGTCTTCAGAAATGGCAACGCATGGGGGTATCATGGGCGAAACAGTATACTCTGTTATGTCCATGGTACTGCTCATGTCTATAGGCGACGGTTACCACTTTTTATTCATTGCCATTCTAAGTTGTATAAAAAAAAGCGTATAAAAGACCTACAAGCGGGGACTACGTGGACCAGGTTTATCCTTCACCCTTCCCTGTATCCAACAGACGGTTAATGGGAAAAATACATGCACTTTCTCACCTCTGTGCGTATGGTGGAGGGGATGCGCGTCGCTGGGCGCGCTGTTGGTGACATTGTTGTAAATCCTCTTGTAGTGGTTGTACACGGCCACCGAGAGCACCTTCTTGGCGTACTCCTGCCCCACCACGTGCTTGTTCAGGTATTCGAATATCTTCTTGGGAGGCGGTGGCGGTTTCCTGTGTGACAACGACCACTTGTTAATTATGGAAAAAATATGATCACACGGTCCTCAAGCTTGGTACCCCTGTGTTATGAGGAACTAGGCAATAATATGTATGTATCAGTCGTTAAATGCCCATTGCTGAACATAGTACTCCTCAAAAAAAGGGGAGGGGGGGTACCAGCAGTTGCCACGCTTGACAGGCGAGTTTTCAACCGTATTAGGCTTTGGTGATGTTTTAAGAGGGACGCTGCTGCCCTAACCTTTAGTTAGGGGAGGGATTATTAGTAATGCGGACTACCAGTCCCATTGCTAGCAATATATATCCTCCGTCCTTTTCTTCTTGCCAGTAGTTGCCACACTTGGTAGGTAGGTTGGCAACTACAGTAAGGGCTTTCGAACATGTCAAGTTAAAAATATTTTAATAATATAATAATAAAATATACTTAATAGATATAACTGTACCATCTGATTACGATATAGGAGCTAATGAACTTGAAAGGCTAAGTAAATACCACCTTCTCAAAACTGAAGTCAGTCGTTTGTGGAACACACAAACGATTATCATCCCGATAGTAATAGGCGCAACAGGAATAGTGGCTAAAAATATTAAAAACTACATAAATAAGCTAAATGCCAAACTTGACATCACAATCTCATCACAAGCAGCCATTCACACATCAAGCATACTCAGCAAAGTATTGGGAGATACCGTATTCGTACAAAATACACAAAATCATCACGCTCAAGACACACACCGGTCACCAACCAGCCAACAGGCAACCAACACACAACACTCAACAAACACACCAGATTCATACAATACAATTCATACACCAAACACACAAACACTCACAAATTCAGTATACACTCAAAAGAGAAGGCGAGATAGAAAACGGACATAAAAAAAAAACTGGGGCATATGTATACCTTTTTTTCTGTGGGTTACAGGACGGGGTGTGTTTTTAAGCCGACATAAGTCGAGAAGGTGAAAACCGATAATAATAAATTTGTTGTATAAATTATATTGTGTTTACATACTAGTTATTGAAGTCGCTGGCGGAAGACCCAAAAAAAACCAATTTTATAAAATAACTAAATTTAATCATAAAATTAATTGTTACAATAATAGGTGCGATGTGTGATCTGTAAGTGAAGGCACATCGAATCAAATACAAAGGAAATGGGTATTTTCTGTTGTGGGAATTGAGGCGCTGACTCGACGCAGGTGTCTTTCTCGGTAGCGCCTTCTTGCGTCAAGCTAGGTGGTCTGATCTGATCGCCGTTGAAGGTGTGTCGTAATACTTTACTATAACATACTTGTTTAGCTGTGTGTTTATGTTTTGATCATGCTGTGTACGCGTATTTTTGGAGGGTTAGCTTGAACAAAACATTATTGTACTGTATAAATTAATGTAACATTGTTAATTCTCTGTAATGTGTACCTATTAAATTGAAATAAAATATATACACGAACAGAATCCTTCTTTCTTACAAAAGTTCGTAGTCACGATATAACAGCTTACACTTTTCTACGTATCATTTATTTGTCAATAGGGCCATTGCAGGTTTAGCAGTATACTGTGGTACCTTGTACTAATTCGATTCGCCCATGAAAGAAAGCGATGTATTTTACAAGCGATCGTGATGAGCATGCGCATTGCGTATTTATCGCGGATAAACAATTGATATTGCAATTTGGGTTTTTTTTCGAAACACGTCACACTTGTCATGTGCATTATGCGACTCTTATGAATAATGCTTACTTATTTATTTATTTATTATTATTTTTTTATTATTTATTATCACAAAAATACAGAGTTACAAAAAATATGTTACATTAGCATTCAGAAACCACGTAGCTTTATATTAGTTTTAAAAATATATATAAAAAAACAATAGAGGACAAAAGAGGAAGGGGAGACAAGAAATAACTACATAAGACAGATAAAGGAAACGCTAGGTGTCATGTCGTATAGGGAGATCAAAGATATGGCCTGAAATAGAGCTGGTAGAATGATCATGGGCGGCGGTAGTCCCTTACCATCAAGTGAGCCGGATGCTCGTTTGTCTCTTGTTAAAATGACTTGTTGCGAAACAAACATTATTTATAATTTTCTTTATAATACATTTACAAAATACCTATTAATTCATCGCTATTTTATTAATTTCACAGCAAAATAATAATAATAATAAAAAACAATGAATTTAGTCAAACTCACTGGATTTTTTGTACCTTTACAAACCTAAATCTTTCGCTGGTTTTATTATAGTTAAATTATGCAGGAACTTGTACCAGAAGAATAAAATAAAAATGCCTTGTATAGACGTGTATGTATATTGATGAAGTAATAGAGAAGAACAAAAGACACATTCCATAAAACAAAAGAAAAACAAAAAAGTATTTTACAATTATAAAATTGTTTGCATTACAATATTTTTGTTCGTATTGAACATGCAAGTTATTAAGTTACTTCTTTTCCTGTCTCTCTCTCTCTCTCTCTATCTCTCTCTCTCGCCTGTTTTTACATGAACCATTGTGTTACGTTGCATGTCGAAAGGACCCAACTATAATTATAATTTTAATAATTTGTAAAATATAAAAAGTGGGTCCTGGTAACCTTAATATATATATTAATATATATATATATATATATATATATATATATATATATATATATATATATATATATATATATATATATATATATATATATATATATATATATATATATATATATATATATATATATATATATATATATATATAATATCATTTCTTCGCGACATTCCTTTCGTTTCTGTTATTCGATTTTTTGGGTATCTTTTGACTGTTAGAATAGATCCAATGATTTTCTAAAATTGACTAAGGTACGACAGGACTGACGTGTCTAAAAGGACAAAAGTTTCTAAATAAATAAAGTTGAAAAACTATGTAAAAAACAAATACAAAAGTTGAATGAACTTCAAATATAATAACATACATAAAAACACAGCTAACAAAGTGATTACATTAATGTATTATAAAGTAGACAACATTAGACACGTCGAAAAAGTAATAATAGAATATTTGCTGCCAGTGGGTATACGTCATTTCGGTAATCAGCCAAAACGTGACGAATCAAATACAAGATTGTGTTCATGCACAAATCCGCATTCACATACATGTCACATGCGTGCACTTTGGACTGTCAATTTTTGGTAATGTTGCAAAAATAAATCTCGTTCGACTCCCACTAAATTTCGATTCCTTATTTATACCACGGTTTCTACATAATATTGATAGATGAAAAGCAAAGTAAATTTTTTTTATACAACTCAGGTGGCATAAACGGCTACTGTAGCCCATGGACGCCTGCAACACTTGGGGTGTCACGTGCGTGTCGTCGATCCTGAAGAAACTTTAACACACCCTTTATGTATAACCACATAGTGTTGTGTAGTCTAGTGTAGGGAAAACCTCGGCAAGGAGTTCGTTTCACAGCCTGAGCGTTCGCGGGAGAAAATTAGAATTAGACTTATAATTTCCGTTTATTATTATTATTTTTTAAATTTCTACAAAATTTCACATCTCCTACAAGTAATCATTATTATTATTTCAGCCGTAGACTGTCCACTGCTGGACATAAGCCTTCCCCAGAAGGGGAACTTTGCCAGGAGTTGTCATACTTGGCAGGTGGGTTTTTTTGTGATGGGTGAAAATGGTATGGTAACCCCGCCTGCGCTAACGGGATACGCTAGCGGAGCACTAGTGAAAGGTGATCGATGAGAATGAAAACAGGTCAGTTAGCTCATAATGATGAATTCGTCAGGAATTAACCATGATAGTTTCCAGGGAGAACCGCGAGGAGGTCGACTGCTAACAGTATTTTGCTAACCGCATAATGCTAACCACAGTAAAATCCAATTATATTGACTTTTGAGATGTTTTAAAAGGAACGCTGCTGCCCATCCCTCGCCCTCCCTTAGTCGCTTACGTAATTACTACTTAGTTTTCGTTTACATAATTGAAATCCGTTATTGGCTGTGTTTATAAGAGATTTAGCATGTAAATTATTTTTAAGAGAGCTGTAGATTTTTGTGTTAAACAAAATAAATAAGTAATAAAATTAAATTGCTTTGAAACCACACTGTACGCGACCATTTAAGTTCGAGCGTATGAGGATGAATTCCCTGTCCATGACGAGCAGTGCCATGATAAAAATGGCTATAATATACCATAATTATATTAAAAATGCGTTGCAGGGAGTCAGTGGATGCAGGTGGCTCAGGACCGTTCTTTATGGCAGTCTATGGGGGAGGCTTATGTCCAGCAGTGGACGGATAATGGCTGAAAAGATGACGTTGATGACGATGAAAAGTTGTAATGCGAAAGAGCATTTGCTATCAATAAATACCTAATGCTTAGAATATATAATATAAATACAGCATCGAGCCTCAAAAACAGGCCTACTTTTTGGCACTGCCATTCTCCCTGATCTGTTTATTAACTCTTAGCGTTAATAATTCAACCAATCAAGTATCGCGTTCGTGATTCACTGTTCGTCCCAAAGTTTGACTGGTAGAAAAACTACTAAAATTAAGTGCACGTTTTGTACCATTTTTTTTTTATCAATAAAGTTATTTAAATAAAAAATAGAATAGAAAATATTTATTACTATAAAAACACAATTACAACAAACAATACATTATATAAGAAGTGTCTCATGTTTTTAATTGATGAAAATGAAATGGTAACCCCGCCTGCGCTATCGATATACACCGACGGGGCACCAGTGAAAGATGATAGGTGAGAATGGACGCAGGTCAGTTAGCCCACCATGATGAATTCGAAAAGAATTAACCATGATGGTTTATGTATTAATGTTTTAAGTATGTGAGGTATTTTTTTAAATTAGGGTATGATGAGACTGACATATCCTTAGAGGATAAAAGCCTCTAAATAAAAAAGATAGTTTCCGAAACGACCCGAGAGAGTATATTGCTAGCAATGGCAAATTAAAACTCATTACTAGCAATCCCTTTCTCCCCGGTGTCTTATGTTAGGCAAAAGAAACTGGCTCAGCTGATGCTGAGAGTGTCCCAGTGCAATGTGTACAGCTGGTTTTCAGCCAGCCCCTCTCTTAATAAAGAAATAATCACGAAATTTAGAACACGCCTACTATAATAATTGGATTATTTGGAGAAGGACATAGATCTGTTATAACGGTCACGCGGACAAAGTCGCGGATTAAAACTAGTACTGCTTGTATAAATTGTCTATATGTGTGTGTGCGTGTGTGTGTATGTGCCTGTGAACTTTATGCAACCAGCTGCCTACACGTGTTATGTAGCCGTTTTTAGTGTACAACAAACAGGTTTCGTGGCCGGCGCCAAACCGCAGATGAGATAACACGGTCGCTACGTAAGCCAAACCTCGAGTGCGTCAAACGGAACGCATTTTTATTAATTATAACTATATGTTTTGTGCTGTTTTTTCCTCCATATACATACATCGACTTTTATACCACGGCGGTGGCAAACAAGCATACGGCCCACCCGATGGTAAGTGGTTACCGTAACCTATGAACACTTGCAATACCAGAGGCATTACGCGTGTGTTGCCGACTCTGAAGAAACCTCTTTACCCCCTTTTGAAGAACCCCATGCTATAGTCTCTTGAGAAAACCTCGGCAGGGAGCTCATTTCATAACCTGAGTGTTCGTGGGAGGAAACACCTCTAACACCGCGTACAGCGTACGCGACCATTTAGGGACCAAACAGACAAGAATCGACGGGACTTTGTTTTATACTATGTAGTGATATATATATATATATATATATATATATATATATATATATATATATATATATATATATAAGTTGTAAAATTGTTATATTTTATAACAGAACGTGTTCTTGAGCCTGCTTTCCGTGTGATAAACGATACCAATTGAGTTTCTTTTCCGTAAACATCTATCGTGTGAATAAATTAATAGGTAACGACTGGTATTCTCACAATTGCCAATTTATCTACCAACATCTTTCTTACGTTATCCCAATTATTATTTGGAGTCGGCGTAATATGTTTGTCTCTTCCATTCTTCTCTATTCGCGGTCATTTCCGCATTCACACCCATTCTGGCCATATCATCTTTTATACAGTCCATCCATGTCTGTTTAGGTCTTCCTTTGGCCTTATAGCCATACACATTCATACATAATACCTTTATCAATTTATTTATATTCTTCTAATATAATTTTCGTACTGAATGATGTCTGTACATACCTTCATTTTTAAACGCAAAACGAAAGTGAATACGTCAAAATGGCAGCCGAATAGAAAAGTATTTTGTCATAATATATTTTTTTTATACAACTTAGAATGGCAAACAAGCTGACGGCCCACTTGATGGAAATTGGTAACCGTCGCCTATAGACATGAGCAGTACCATGAACATAACAGAGTATACTGTTTCGCCCATGATAACTCCCATGCGTTGCCATTCCTGAGGACTCAGGTGTTATTCCTCTGTACCCTGTAAATTCACGCCATATCCCACTCTTCAAACCGAAACACAGCCATGCAAACACAACTGCTTCACGGTTGAAACACGAATGGGACAGAGACAAGCAATCGACTTTTGTACAAAGTCACCCTTTGATAAATATATTATATTTATTATTATATATAACAGTAGGTACGCAGCAAATAAGCTGTATTTCTTTCTTACGTTTCGCATTTACATTACGAGGTAAATACATAGTTAAAAAACCCATTCTAAGGCCTACCACTTATTATACAAGTTTGAAATTGTTTACTACATACACGTATTCCATTTAAAGAATTATTTTACATTATATTAACATAAAAATATAATTTATTCATTGTTAAATAGAGGTATGAACGCAACAATGAATAAAAAATAACCATTGTAATTTGTGGTAAGTACATATTTTCTTCTTATACCACGAAAGTGGCAAGCAGGCGTCCTCCTCTCTCCTACTTGCTGTGCCCAACAGGGTCCGTAATTGAAGTTGAAATGTTATCTACTAATCACATTATGGAATGCAATAAGAAATAAATAAATAAATAAATCTATCTGATGGTATAAACGGTCACTATAGCCTATGGACGTTTGCCACACAATAGGTGCCACATACGTATCGCCAATCCTGTAGAAAATTTAATCGACTCTTAGACCCCCATACTTAAACATAACTTAGAACAGTTACCTGTAAAATCCTGACTTGTTTTCGGCGTTCTCTTTGATACTTTTCTTTGTGTCTACCTCGCTGAGCACCACGAAGAAATGGTGACATTTGTCACACTTCACGAATCGTGTCGAACTGACGAACGTCTCCACGTGTGTGCATGGATCACCACACTTGGGACATGTGAGCACTCCGTTTCCAGACCCTGATTTCTTGCCGCCAGATGTGGTGCCTGTTGGGAAATAATATAAAATGAATAAAAAATATATTCCGGTTGATATAATACAAGTCTGTCTGGAGAAGAGAAGGAATGTGAGTGATGGGGACTGACAGCCCCATTGGTAGCAATATACCTTTGCCAGAGCATCTTCACGCGATTCCCCCTGGAAAATTATGGCGATTAGTTATTATTCGTCATGATGGGACAACTGGCATGCTTCAGCTTCACCTATCATCTCCCACTGGTGCCCCGCCTATGTATACCAATAGCGCACTCGGAGTTATCATTCATTCATCATCTCATAAAAAACATTCTGCCTAAACAAAGTATGCCGGGGGGAAAGGGATTAGTAATAATGCGGACTATCAGTCCCATTGCTAACAATATACCCTTTCAGGTTGACCACCACGTGCTCCCCCTGGAACTATCGTGCCGAATTCCAGGTGTATTCATCACGATGGGCTAACTGACCTACCTTTTCATTGTCACCTATCATCCCCCGCTGGTGCCCCGTCAGTGTATATAGTTAGCGCAGGCGGGGTTACCATTCCATTATCATCCATTAAAAAAAAACAGTCTGCCTAGAAAATGCTTTAATACGATCTGAGAGTCCCCTAATGGAATCTCAGTTTAAAAATATTTAAATTTAAAAGACAAAATCGATTAAAGACTAGTTAAAATTGTATTACATTAATAAGAAATATATTTATTACACATAGAAAACCCTCAGACCAATACAGTCAGCCATACTCATGAATTCGTGGCCACTGGAAGGCAGGACTCGTTTTACATCTACTATGCACTTTTGCCATACAAACTGAAGGCCTACCATGAAATGTTTTTCGAAATTTCGGGGACGAACGAAACACACATTTGATATTAAAATTACATAATACTTACCGTTTAAAAACATTAAAAATGCTAAAGTATCGTTCCTTTGGACTTTTATGGTAGAATTTATTACAAACCAAACGTTAAGCTCCATTTACTGGGTCGATTTTGGTATGAACAAAAACACGAAATTGAGTCCGAAATTTCGGAATTTCATTTCATGGTAGACCCGCTGGGCACAAGAGCTGCGTTCACCTGAATTGCCGGCATCCTTCGGTGGCGGCGGGTGTGGCGGGCCGGGCGGCTGCTCGGTGGGACTCTTGCAAAGCACCGCGGCCGTGCTCAGCGAGCGCGGGCACGAGCGTCGCAGCGACCGGCACTGTTGGACACCACCTGCATTAATGATTACACTCTTAGATTATATAGACCCACATAAATGCTTCGAGAAGAGCGGCTCAACGTTTTCTTAAAATTTTTGCGTGATAAATAGTCATGAGTGATTCCTTTATTACTTCTATATTTATTTTGTCTTATAATTTCTCCATCTTTTTAATGCGTAAACACTCATTTTAATTATTAATACATCAAGATACATTTTATACGTAAGTATATAGAAAACTGATAAAAAATTGTCAGCTACTTTGACAATTAGCTATTAATTTTCTACCCATAACATAATTTCACTTCCATATTTTTTATGCAAATTAGAATGGCAATCAAGCTGACGGCCTACCTGATGGAAAGTGGTAACGGTTGCCTATAGACATGAGCAGTATCATGGGCATAACAGAGTGTAATGTTTCGCCCATGCGTTGCCCTACCTGAGGATTAGTGTTATGCCTATGTACCCTGTCCACCATGTCCCACCCTTCAGACCGAAACACGGGAAAGGGATTATTAGTAATGGAGACTGAGAATCCTATTGCTAGCAATATACCCAACCAGCTCGATCTCCTCGCGGTTCTCCTGGAAACTATCATGATTAATTCAATTGGAATTAATCATGATGGGCTAACTGGCCTGTTTTTATCTTCATCGATCACCTTTCACTGGTGCCCCGCCAACATATCTCGTTAGCGCAGACGGCCTTCCCATTCCATTTTCATCCAATAAAAAAAACATAACTGCTTGATGACTTATCTGGACAGGATGCATGACCGCCTTATTAATATTGGACTTACAAATATGACATCTGTCGATAGATAATAATATAAACAGACACAAACGATCGTGCAAAGTCCGCAATATTGATAATAGTTGTATACAAATTACGCGGTACATTGTATGTATAATATATATATATATATATATATATATATATATATATATATATATATAAGTATAATATTTATTTATTTCTAATTTAACGAAACTTCACTAGATCTAGTTTCGATCTGGGGCGAACACAATCTTGTCAAATTAAACCCTGAGAAGACACAAGTCTGTGCATTCACCGCAAAACACCGTGCAAGAAACGCCGTTTGTCGCATCCCCTCACTTTCAGGGCACATCCCTTGATAATTTATATATATATATATATATATATATATATATTTATACAACTTAGAATGGCAAACAAGCTGACGGTCTACCTGATGGAAAGTGGTAACCGTCGCCTATAGATATGAGCAGTATCATGGACATAACAGAGTATACTGTTTCGCCCATGATACCCCCCATGCGTTGCCATTCCTGAGGACTCAGATGTTATTCCTCTGTACCCAGTAAATTCACGCCATATCCCACCCTTCAAACCGAAACACAGCCATGCAAATACAGCTGCTTCACGGTTGAAACAGATAACAGGTCGAGTCTAGGGGTCCTTGGCGTTGATATATCTAGCGAAGTCCAAGTTTGCGATTATCTGGAGGAGAAGGCTAAGATGGCTTCCAAAAAGTTAGGAGTGCTCAATAGAGTGAGACAGTATTCCACATCGGATCACCGCTTGAAATTGTATAATGCTCAAGTTAGACCACATATGGAATACTGTTCTCACCTATGGGCAGGAGCGCTACAGTACTAGCTCCTTCCGTTAGATTACATTCAAGTTCGGGCGCGTCGAATCATTGATGGTAAACGCTTTACTGTTCGACTTGACCCTATGCAACTGCGTAGAAATGTTGCATCTCTGTGCATCTTCTACCGAATTACACAACTCCAAATTGTACAACTCGCCATAAACTAAAATTTCATCCCAATCATCTGGACGAGTGGCTGTCTTCTACCGTGCGTTTTTCAAGGCATTTTCTTCCACGCACAACCACTCTTTGGAATCAACTTCCAGCAGCAGTATTTCCGAACCGATACGGCATCATAACCTTCAAGAAATTAGCATATTCCTTGGGGGAGGAGGGATTGTTAGTAATGGGGACTAGCGGCCCCACTGCTATCAATATATCCTGTGTGGCCGTCCTCCACGCAGTTCCCTTTAAAAACCATCGCGATTAATCCCTATAAGTTCGTCACGATGACCCAACTGGCCTGCTTCGTCTTCACCTATTATCTCTCACTGGTGTCCGGTCAGCGTATACCGTAGCACAGGTGAGGTTACCATTCTATTATCATCCATTTAAAAAAAATTCTACTACATACGGTATATCATTTAAAAACTTTAGATGCATACGCCCAGATGCCACTTGCTTTCCTCGGAACACTTTTCGAGACGGTCGACAAAAAACAGCGATTACGAAGTATTATTTAACATACATAAGAAAACTGGTTTGTCGCATCAAAACAGCATGGCGTGTAATCGTTTATTTTATAATATTTTGTTATATAATGATTTATACGTTATATATGATATATACTTATCAATATTTGTTTGAAGGGTGGGATATGGCAGTAAATTTACATGATACAGAGGAATAACACCTGAGTTCTCAGGAATCGCAACACATGGGGGGTATCGTGAGCGAAATAGTATACTTTGTTATGTCCATAGTACTGTTCATGTCTATAGGCGATGGCTACCACTTTCCAACAGATGGGCCGTCAGGTTGTTTGTCATACTAAGTTGTATAAAAAAACATAATTTTTTTTTCATAATATTGAGAAAATGTGCAACGCCCTCTGTACCGTGAAGGTTCGCGTATGATAATAACAGATTAAATTTCTGACAGAACCGTAGGTAACGTAACCCTTTTAAATTATGTTTTTTTTTATGAATGGCAAACAAGCTGACGGGCCACCTGATGGCAAATGGTAACCGTCGCCTATAGACACGAGCAATACCATGGACATAACAGAGTATATATCTTTTAAACAGAATACACAAATACAATGTTATAAAAATATAACTGTAAGATCGAAAAGTCTGTACATATATAGTTTAAAAAAAAACTAGTTGAAAAGAGTCTAAATATAAGTAAAAACAGTATTTGTTTATTTATCTTCGGAACCGATCTTGATGATTATTTTTGATAGAATAAACATACACTAATAATATTTTACATTAATGGAATGAACAATAATGAAAAAAAAAATGTTTTGTAGTCTTGAAATATTAATAAATTACAATATTATTTTCGTGATAGAGATTTGAGTAAGTAAATAGATAGATAGATAGATAGTTTTTTGGAAAGCAAAAACAAACAGCTAGTACACTTTAGACACACTGAAGATAACAGAAATTAATTATTGTAAATTGTGGTAGCTGTCAGATTGAAGCACTTTCCGCTCCGTTGCAACTGACAAAGTAAAATTTTTGCATTATAACGCTATTTATGAATACATACTTATACATACATAATGTATGACTAAAAAAAATAATCTGGCTCAGTATCATTGTGACAATTAAGATATATAGATACCTATTACATACAAAACACTCTGATAACGTGCTATTTGCAAACTAAAAGTGACTCGGTTATTTATAGGATGCTTCAGTATAGATTTTTTTATACAACTACGGTGGCAAACAAACATACGGCTCACATGATGGGTAAACAATTACCGTAGCCTATGAACGCCTGCAATACTAAGGGTATAACGTGCGTTGCCGACCTTAAAGAAACCAGAGGGAGACTTTGTACAAAAGTCGATTGATTGGGCACCTCTATACCATTCGTGTTTCTACCGTGAAGCAGTTGTGTTTGCATGACTGTGTTTCGGTTTGAAGGGTGGGGATATGGCAGTGAATTTACAGGGTACAGAGGAATAACACCCGAGTCCTCAGCAATGGCAACGCATGGTGGGTGTCATGGGCGAAACAATATACTCTGTTATGTCCATGGTACTGATCATGTCTATACGCGACGGTTACCACTTTGCATCAGTTGGGCCGTCAGCTTCTTTGCCATTCTAAGTTGCATAAAAAAAAAACCTTTTTATCCCTTTTTTAAACAACCCCATGCTGTAGTCTCTTAGAAAAACATCGAGAAGGAGCTCATTCCATAACCTGAGCGTTCGTGGGAAGAAAAATCGCTGAAACCGCGTTGTAGGTGACCGTCTAAGGTTTAAGGTATGGAGGTAAACTCTCTGTCGATGGCAAGCTGTATGATGGTAAAAGATGGCTGTGGGCATCATATTGAACAATTCCTCTGAGCAAAATCCTTTGTACAAGCGGTAGAACATGCAGAGTGAGGCAAAATCTCTCCTATGACTTAAGGGTTCGATACCGCTTGTAAGCCTGGGATCATCGACAATTCTCATAGCTTTATGTATGTTGCTGTAGTAAAGATACTAAAAGTATATTGTATTGCCTAATTTATCCCATAGAGCAAAACATGCATTGCCTCGTGACATATATATTCACTAGCTATGCCTGCAACTTTTTTCACGTGACCTGGATAAAAAGTAGCCTATGTCCTTCCCAACGCCAAATAGTACGCGTGTAGATACCAAATTTGATATTGATTGGTTAACCGGGGGGGTTAACCTACAATGAAATGAAATTTCGGATTCAATTTCTTATTTTTGTTCATATCGCGCGGCGCGTATAACGCATTTTCAGAGATGTTTTCTCCCATGAACACTCAGGTTATGGAATGAGCTTTCTGCCGAGGTTTTCTCAGCGCAGCATGGGGTTCTTCAAAAGTAGGAGTAAAGAGGTTTCTTCAGGGTCGGCTACGCGCGCGTAATACCCCTGGTATTGCAGGGCGTTCATAGGCTACGAACTTGAAACACGAATGGGACAGAGGTACCCAAACAATCGACTTTTGTACAAAGTCTCCCTCTGGTATAGACAACATAGAACACGGTCTATTTGCTATAGTCTATAGCTATCGGTATCTCTAATCATAGATAAACAAAATATGATATAATGAATTATGTATGTTTATTGCTTAGAGGCAAGCGTCAACGTAACTAACTTTCTCTTTCATATAATTATTCTAGATTCTGATCGACTAAAACTCTGTATATACTAGTCGATGGTTAGTATCCCCAAATTATAT